CACTCACACACACACTCACACACACTCTCACACACTCACACTCTCACACACTCACACACACTCTCACACACTCACACACTCACACACTCACACACACTCTCACACTCTCACACTCTCACACTCTCACACTCACTCACTCACTCACACACAGGCTGGTTGATTATGTGTGTGTATGTGGGAGATGTGGCTGGGTTTCAAGAGACGGATGGAGGTCTGGCACTGTAACGCTGGAATGCACTGCCAAAGTGACTCTTTATGACAAACATCAGCGCAGAGAGAGTAACGGCTCTGGGTTCAGGCCATGTTTAAGAGTGTGAGTGATGAAGAACTCTAATGAGCAAACAAACCACACCGGCTCAAACACGGAGCGATGCCACCGCACACATCCACGAAAAACACGCCAATGCCGCGCAACTGCAGGACATTTACAATGCACAGCAATAAATGATGCTCAGATAAGTGTCTTGTCTTGTTTCAATAAACTAACAAGTTAAAAATGTTTTCTCTGTAAAATAATGAGTGTTTCCGGACAGGTTTCCCTCATCTCCTGTTGGTCAGTAAACAGAAAGTCCCACTCCAAACTCAAACAAACAATCGCACACTGAAAAGAATCCTGTTTATTAACATGCATCCCACTTAATATATGTAATAATCCTTAAAACAAGAGACGTGGCACTGTGTTTCCACTGATCGTGTGTTTAATATGAGTGTCTGACGGATCCAAGCACTTTTTAACTAAAAAAAATAACAATCACTGAAAACAATCTGAAGTTAAATTAAAATTAAGTACATTCTGATTAAACTTTTTTCTAAACTGGAAATCCTGTTTATTAACATGCATCCCACTTAATATATGTAATAATCCTTAAAACAAGAGACGTGGCACTGTGTTTCCACTGATCGTGTGTTTAATACGAGTGTCTGACGGATCCAAGCACTTTTTAACTAAAAAAAATAACAATCACTGAAAACAATCTGAAGTTAAATTAAAATTAAGTACATTCTGATTAAACTTTTTTCTAAACTGGAAGTAAAACAAGACTAAAAGCGTATTAAGAAGTCACTTTTGCAATGAATGTCTTACTGTATACCTCTGAATTAAGGTATGAGGCTAAATCAGCAAAAAATCATGAGATTATAATAGTTGTGTATAATAATTAATCTGTTTATTAACATGCATCGTACTTAGACGCAGCACTGAGTTTCCACTGATTGTGTGTTTAATACGAGTTAATTTGGTCTCACTGGACTGACTGATTTCATGCTGAACTTGTTTATAATTAAAACCAGTGAAGTGCAGTGAGACAAAATGAACTCATATTAAACAAACAAAAGTAAAAAGTGAAAATAATATTACTATCATATGCTGTGCAATGTTAAGCAATTTGGTTAATTTGGTTAAATGATTTGCAGATTATTTTACAAAAAAAAAGTTATATAAGACTAAATAAAGCATTTTAGCAGTGAATGTCTTACTGTATACTCTTAAAGGGGTCATATGATGCTATTTTAAAGATCATTATTTTTTTGAGACTTTAGTCTTTGCAACTTCAGGGATCTTATCTATGCACAATCAGCTTGTAACACTCCAAAGAGAAAGAACAACTTGAAATCGCATCATATGACCCCTTTAATTAATGCAACATTCAAAATTATTACAAACATCATCACCAATCATATTATAATAATTATGTCTACTGACAGTCCTAAATAAATATATAGTTATTTACACATTAATAATAATACATTTTTCTATTTGTATTCCTTGGGAACTAGCTGAAGTGAAATAAGTTTAAGCGTTGTAATATTTCCTTTCATCTCAGTCAACATGTATTTACAAAAAATGTTTTTATTGTTTTAGTTCCAGTTAACTATAATAATCCTATATACTGTATATTCATGCCAATCCCAATCCCAGCAGAATAAACCTACTAAACTGCTTATATTTACAAATACCACAAACACTTGAATGCAGCATGAGATCTGACGCTTGCACTCTGGTGACATCAGGAATCTCAGCGCTGGACTGAATCTGAACAAACACACAGAGAGATCAATACTTCACCCAGACCGAGAGCAACAAGCAAACATGAGGCGCTGAAGCTCTGTGTTTGACTGGAGAAGCACTGCGGCTGAACGTCTCTGAAGCCCCGTCATCTACAAGTGACTCATTTCTGACCGGATCACATCAACAGACTCCAAACTGAAGCAGCACTATTTATCCTCACTATCTGCACGAGTGCGAGTCGGAGTGCAGATGTGAATCACTCTAGTAAACACGGTAAAGAGACGCAGACGGACCGTCTGGAGAAGAACAAACACGCGCCGCAGACGGGAATACTAATCAAATACTTCAGCACTTTAATATGGCAACAATAACTCTTCAGCATGTAGATTTTGGACCTTTATGCTTTACAGATTCATAAAACATGATGAAAGCGTCTGAAGCAGCGCTGCAAAACGATTAGTCGCGATTAATCGATTCAAAATAAAAGTTTGTTTGCATACTATTATGTGTGTGTACCGTGTATATTTATTATGTATATATAAATACACACACATATATGTATATATTTTAAAATATATATTTGTTTGTAAACACTTGTATATAAATTATATTATATATAAATATAAATATTTTACATATACATCTAACATATTTTTCCTTAATATATACATGCATGTGTGTGTGTATTTATATATACACATGATAAATATACACGGTACACACACATATAGTATGCAAACAAACTTTTATTTAGAATCGATTAATCGCGACTAATCGTTTTGCAGCGCTAGTCTGAAGAAAGAGAAAAAGCCCAGCAGAATAGAAGTGTGCAATATTGACAAAAAATAATATCTTGATATTTTCTGGGATTTTATTGATAACGATAATCAGATGATGTTTTGCTGAGTGTGTTATTGTGCTGATATCTTACGGACTGCGGTGGACAGCTGACTCCTAAAGTGTTTATATTCTTCATATTCTGTGTGCTGGTCAGTTCACACTGAGAGAAATTAATCTTTTCCAATAAGTTTAAATTGATTTTTACATTTTATGGGCATTTTTACCTTTATAAAGCCATTTTTTCTAAAAGTGTCCATTATCTTTTGAGTCAATTTCTCAGATGTAATCAGTGAATCAGAGTAATAAGAGATTTGGGCTGTTAGCAAGCAAATGAAATCAGCATCAATGAAATGCATCTTTGCAGCGCAGAGGAAACACAGAAGCTGCGTCTGAAGTGATATTTAGATGTGTTTACACACTGATTAATGCAGGACATGAATGTGTTTAACCTGCGGTCATACATGCAGAAATACTGCTTTGATATATTAAACATAAAACACTGAATACTGATATTTGAAATTAGTTAAATAATAAAAAGATACTTTAAATGTGAAATTAAATCCGCCAGCAGGTGGCAGCACGTCACTGTTAATAAGTGAGTCATTCAAACGAATCATTTAAATGGTTGATTCATTCAGGAACGAATCACCGTCGTGTTGCTCAGAGACACAAAACAGTGCTGTGGCTGTGTTTGGGATTATTTCTGTTGGAGAAATAGAGCAAAAAACAGGAAATATGGCGTCTCTTAATTAACTTCTTGTTTATTGAACTGCTGTATAAAATCAATGTCACATTTGAAATCATGGTAATTTTTGGAGAAAAAGAGCACTCTTTGTGTGAAATTGATTAACTATATCAAGTGGTATGCACATACCCCATATCTTGAATTTGTGATGAATCTAAATGAATTTTAATAAACTGAATCACGCAGTGAAGTCTAGACTTCACGTAATGTATGCGTGTGCTCTGTAGGTGTTTTGTTCGGTTTTTGCAAAATACTGGATAATGTAAAATCGCACATCCTTAAAATAACAATTACAGTATTACCGCAGACGATATATATCACACACCTCTACAGCAGAACATCTCAATGCCGAAGAGCCGCAGACTCACCTTGGTTTCTCCCAGACTCTCGGATTCGGACACCTGGTATGTGAGGTCGGTCTCCTCGAAGCCCGTGGCGCTCATGCGCTGGTCCGTGGACGGGTCGGAGCGCGGCGGAGAGTCCGGGGAGTTCAGGCAGGTTTGGATCAGAGCTTTGCCCGTCTCGCTGGTGATCATGGGCTGCAGCTTACGCGTGGCGAACGTGTAGACGTGCCCTGTCTCGCTGGCCACCAGCAGCAGGACCTGAGTTCCCGTGAGCGTGGAGAGCTCGTACGCCTTCAGAGACACACACACATAGAACCACAATCAAACTTTGCCATCCCAGATCAGGATGAGTTTGTTTCTTCATCAGATTTGGAGGAATGTAGCATTGCATCAGTGTCTCACTGCAAGCGAATGGGTGCCGTCAGAATGAGAGTCCAAACAGCTGATAAAAACATCACAATAATCCACAGCACTCCAGTCCATCAGTTAACATCTGGAGAAGACAAAAGCTGAAACACATCCAGCATTAAGATGATTTTAGAGAGTCTATAATCCATAATAACGCTTCCTCCAGTGAGTCAGTGTTCTGGTGTGAATCAGGAGAGAAATCTGCAGATCAAGCAGCGTTTAAACAGCTCTAAACACATATCTAGCTGGATTTTAATGTGAGAGACAACAGCAGATGCACTTTTTCACATTAGTATGGATTGTGAACTCGTATTTGAGTTAAAAATGTCTTAATGCTGGATTTGTCTCAGCTTTTGTCTTCTCCAGACGTTAACTGATGGACTGAATTTAGTTTGCATTATTGAAACATTATTTTCCCGTTTAATCACTGCAAAGCTGGTTTGACATGATCTGTATTTAACAAAGCGCTTCAGAAATAAAGGTGACTTGACAGACTTTATTTCAGAGGAGGATAACAGTGTTAATGTGCCAAAGAGTTCCAGAAATCGTTTATGCGTCGAGACGAACTGAACTGAATGTTTTCAGCTGGATTTTGATGTGAGAGACAACAGCAGATGCACTTTTTCACATTATTATGGATTGTGAACTCGTATTTGAGTTAAAAATGTCTTAATGCTGGATTTGTCTCAGCTTTTGTCTTCTCCAGACGTTAACTGATGGACTGAATTTAGTTTGCATTATTGAAACATTATTTTCCCGTTTAATCACTGCAAAGCTGGTTTGACATGATCTGTATTTAACAAAGCGCTTCAGAAATAAAGGTGACTTGACAGACTTTATTTCAGAGGAGGATAACAGTGTCAATGTGCCAAAGAGTTCCAGAAATCGTTTATGCGTCGAGACGAACTGAACTGAATGTTTTCGCTCCTCAGCCGTTCGTTCTGGAGACATCAGTGTTTACTAACAGATAACAGCTGAAACCATGTGAGATAAGACTCTATTAATAGAGCCGCTGGTCAGCGTGAGACTGATCGAGCTGGACTAGAGAGACTGACCAACACAGCAGCTGCAGTAACTTGCTCATCAGGGTATCAATGATGACCTTTACTAATCATCAGATATACCATACGATGCATAATAATATCAAATACACAGGGTTTAATGAGTTCTAGGATGTGTTTGAGCACAGATGTTGTTATAAGGGACTCAGAACCAGAGCAAAGACTATGAGAGTAAAGCGAGAGGAACTTAGTGAAACAGCATCGTCTCTCTTCAGCTGTCGGGTCAGGAATGAAACGATCTCCATCGGTTCTGAAGAACAAAGCATCACGTGCTCAAGCCGTCTGCGAGCATCTCGAGAAACCCAAACACCTTCTGCTGAATCATTTCCAAGCTGCTTCCCGTGAATGTGCGAGACTTCTGATTCATTCGGTAAAGAACCAAGACGGAAAACAAACTCGCTGCACTACAAACCAGAGTGTTTATGATTATGATAACGAATTAAAATAACAAATACCAATTTCCAATACCAAGCTGCATAGACCTGCTAAAATAACTGGAAGTGAAACCAAATGAGCCACAAACACTTACGTCACAAACTGAAACTAATTTACTCTTTCTCAGTTTGATCATGTTTTTTTATTTAATACTTTCGTGAAAACTTAAACTGTTCTTCTGAGAGAAGATGCTTTGATTACTGAGCAGTTAAAAAAAAGAGTTATAGAAGTTTTTATTATTATGAAAAATGGGCAAAAACTGTTTTCAAGTAAGATTTTGTTTGGGCGCAGTACCAAATGTTTCCACTAGATGAAATATATAAAGATATAAAGTCATGTTTTATGATCATTTATTAACATTTATTAGAGAAACATTTGTTGTACTGCAAACCAAGACAAAACTTCTGAGTATACACTGATAAAAATGATTTTGTAGTGAAGTAAATGCTACAGAAAAACAAATGTAATTTCTACACTAAATAATTTAGTTCAGGCAGGAATTTAAAAAATGGAGTAAATTCTATATTAATACTCAAATTAAGAGTGTAGAAATTAAAGTTTGAACTTACAGGTACTTGGAATTGTTTGTTATGTTAACAAGGATTCTTTAAGTAAATATCAAAGTTATGATCAGTGTTGTAGCACTGGGGAGTGAATAATTAATAAGAGTACATTTTTCACCGTTTTTGAGTTGTATTTACACTGTTTTATGGACGCTTTTGTGACATCTGGAGTTCATTCTCTACTCAAAATGACCCATTCTTACTCAAACACTGTCATCTGATTGTTACCTTTTGTTAATTGTATAATAAATAAAAAGAAATCGATAGAATACAAAAAGATTAGAAAAGCTAGTGTTAGTTTTTTTGTCAAAAAAAAAGTCTAAAAGGGAAAAAAAAAAGAAAAAAAAGAATAGAATTAGAATAGAGAGTGCTAGAGTTAGAGGGTCAAATAAAGATGTTTGTAAGTGAACCACGTGCTTTAATAGCATGATTTTTTTTTCAGTGCTATATTGTTTGAGTAACCGTGACGGTGTGAGATTTACTTGAGTATTGCAGAGTTAACATAAAAATAACGAAGTAGAAATTACTCATCAAACTCTAACTGGCCGTGTTACATTTATTTATTTCCTTTGCTAATCTTACATAACTTAGTTGAGTAGATTTTACTTGATTCCACACGTAAAGTTTCCTTTAAAAATGTGTGCAAAAACTCTATTTGAAATGAGTGTAATTGAGTGTTCTGCAGTGCGCAGGGCTTTTCTCAGCAGAACACTGAGCTGAACTCTCCCGCGAGGCGTAAAGAGCAGCAGAAGAGCTCGTCTCAGCATCAGCTCTGCGTTTGCTCAGCTGTCGAGGACGGCTACAGATAACATAACATCCAGCATGTGTCGAGTGAAAGCACATTTGTCTGAGCTTTACGACCCACAGGGACGCCTTTTGCCCAAAACCAGCCTCTAAAGCAGGACTTCACCGATGACTGGACATCACAGAATGGAATGATCTCTAGAACTCGCTGGAGGGAAATTAACTTTTACTCTTAAAAAAACTAAATAAAAAAAAACACCACAAAATGATCAATTGTTCAGGGCCCCTGTGCGCGTCAGATAACGGCTGGCGTCAGGTTCAGAAAAGCTCTCATTCCTCCGCTTTCTCAAACCGTAATAAACGGAAGAATTCCCTTCCCACGGCAAGACTATCAGCGCTCTCCTTCCAATCAATCTGCATCAGTGTCTCAGCAGTGGATGCTCTGCAGTGAATGGGTGCCGTCAGAATGAGAGTCCAAACAGCTGATAAAAACATCACAATAATCCACAAGTAATCCACAGCACTCCAGTCCATCAGTTAACATCTGGAGAAGACAAAAACTTTAAAGTGTACAGCTGTTTAGAGCTGTTTAAACGCTGCTTGATCTGTGAGAACACTTTTTCACTGGAGGAAGCGTTATTATGGATTATAGACTCTCTAAAAGCGTCTTAATGCTGGATGTGTTTCAGCTTTTGTCTTCTCCAGATGTTAACTGATGGACTGGAGTGCTGTGGATTATTGTGATGTTTTTATCAGCTGTTTGGACTCTCATTCTGACGGCACCCATTCACTGCAGAGCACCCATTGCTGAGACACTGATGCAGTGCTACATTTCTACAAACCTGATGAAGAAACAAACTCATCCTGATCTGGGATGGACAGAGAGTGAGCAGATTTACATTTTTGAGTGAACTATTCCTTTAAAGTGATAGTTCACTCAAAAAATGAACATCTTGTTATCATTTTCTCTTGTTGTGGAATTCAAAAAGGAGATGTTGGACGTAATGTTCATGCTGCTCTTCCACCATCAAAATCCATTTACAGTAAATATAAAAGCACTTGTTATGCTTCGTGATCTATATTCTGTACGCATATGATATTATATGAAATGAAACTTGGTGCACGAGTCATATGGACTATGTTTTTGCGGTCATGGTCATTATGAATAAAAAAGAGCTGCATAAAGATTTTTTTGAAATAGTTATTTTGTGCTTCACGGGAAAAAAAGGCAAGTTTGGAACGACATGGAAGGCGAGCAAACAATCAGAGAATTTGTGGTGAACTGTTGCTTTAAAAGATTTCCAAGCATCTTCTCAGCTGTGACGGTCTCTTCCAAACAAAGCACCTACACTCAGTTAGTGGAGTGTTTAGGCGGCCTGAGGTTTGTGCAGCACCAGAGCTGTGTCTGTAATAGAGCATGCCAGTTGCTCGTTCTATTTAAAGCTCACAGTCCGTCGCATCTGTTGTGACTTCAGATCACCTCCCGAAGCACGGGACACGTGACACCACAGAGACTTCACGAGCCGAGGAGCCCACTGCTCCAGATACTCCTGGAGACCTGACACCTTGCTTCCTCTAACAGGAGTAAAACCTCCTAAAACCAGCTCTAAAACCAGTGTGGAGCAGCTCTGAAGATTGAGAAACCTCTGCATATTGAGAACTTTTTAGGTGCCCAAACCTGGCCCTGGGGGCCCATGATGACCTTTGCTTTGGCCCACCATCCCATCAAAATAAATAAATAAAAAGAATAAAAAATGTATTAATTAAAATAATTAATTACAGAAAATAAATACAATTTATTAATTAAAAATAATTAATTACAGAAAATAAATACAATTTATTAATTAAAAATAATTAATTACAGAAAATAAATACAATTTATTAATTAAAAATAATTAATTACAGAAAATAAATAAATTTATTAATTAAACATTAATTTTGTACAAAAAGTAAGAAAAATCCAATTTAAGCATCTTTGTTACATTTTAATAACCGAATATAATGCAACATTTAGTTTTGTACACTGGCCTCAATCAAGGAAAAAAAATGTATTAATTAAAATAATTAATTACAGAAAATAAATACAATTTATTAATTAAAAATAATTAATTACAGAAAATAAATAAATGTATTAATTAAACATTAATTTTGTACAAAAAGTAAGAAAAATCCAATTTAAGCATCTTTGTTACATTTTAATAACCGAATATAATGCAACATTTAGTTTTGTACACTGGCCTCAATCAAGTTATATTTAGTCTCTGCGTTCAGAAGTGTTCGCTCCAGGAGAAGCAACTGATGGGTGTTACCTTCCTTCTCCTGTATTTTACTTCTTGATGCACTTTGTATTTAAGCTTTCTATAACTGCTTATCCTATTCAGTTACGCAGTTCTCTAGCAGGACTCGAACCTGCAGACTTTCAGTAATCAGCCATGCCCTTTAACACCACTTTAGTGCCTGTCTGAATGATCTGCTGGTTCTGCGTGAGAGTTTCTCACCTTCTTCATGATGCCCGTCTTCCTCTTGCTGAAGGTCGTGTACCGGCGCAGTTTGTTGTCTATAAACTCCATCTTTATCTTCACTCTGCCGCGGGTCTTCTTGCCCGGTTTCGCTCCGGCCGCTCCACCCGCGAGCGCCGCGGAGGGCAAGCCGGCCTCAGGTCCCACCATCGCGGCTTCCATCTCCGCTCTCTCCCGCTTGACGCCGCCTCCCCTCCGGTTGTCCCCGACTGACCCCATGAGCTCGTCCTCATCGCCGGAGTCAGAGTCCGCGTCGGAGCCGCTGCACAGGTGCGGGGGTCCCTCTTTATCCGGCTCGAACCTCCCTGGGATCCCGAGCCCCATCGGCCCCAGCCCCCGGGCGAACCCCGCGCGGACCCCGGCGCCCAGCACCACCGCGCCGTGGCCTGCGCTCTTCCCCGCCGCTGACCCGCTTCCACTCAGAGCCGCGGCGCTCTGGCTGGATAACATCCTAGAAACCGGAGAGAACGATCCGTATGGCGGCGGAGCGCTGGAGCGACAGTCGGTGAGAGAGCGAGATCCGAAGCGGCGCTCATACACCAGCAGAGTCCGCGAGAAACTTTGAGAAGTGATGCTGAACCTGAGCGCCTCCAGCCGGCTTCACTCCCGCTTCACCTCCCCCTGGAGCTCCGCGAGCGACGCGCTTCCTCTAAAAGGATCCTTCCGCCGCGTCATCTAGTGCGCAGCGAACGCGTCAAATCAGCGCTCTTCTCTTTTAACGCGCCGCGAACGCCTCAGCTCCGCGTCCCGCCGCTGACAGCTGTCAGTCACCACGTTTACGTGACGCTTCGCAACGCCGGCGCGGAGGGATCTATACACGGCGGATCTACTTTCCTCCATATAAAGAGATAAGCTGTTTCCTTTTTTGGAGTTCTCGCTCCTTATATGGCGAGTCACAGTCGAGTGCAGCGATTGGCTCGCGCGGGGACGGCCTGCAGCGCGGTTGGCTAAAGCGACATCTCATTTGCATAAATACCAAAACGGTTGCGCTCACCTCACACGTCACACTAGAGGGAGGAGCTTCGCGTATTAATAGATGCGGGATATTAATAACAACAATAGTAAGGTTATTAACGTGATTTATGTAAGTGTGCAAAATACATGATTATTCAACTTTCATAATACTATTAGTTAGTATTAATACAAATATTAATAAAACCACATACTCAAAGAAACACAAATAAACAAACCAAACAATCATTCCATTCCACTGCAACAAGCATTTCTGTAATTCTGTAATTTCATGGCACTACAGCACAAACGTAGTTCCCATAGAAACGGTTATAAAAGCCTCAGACTCAGATGTGAGAGAGGGAGCTGCACATTTCATTGAAATACTTGAATCAAACGCTTCATATCCAAGTATTCTTCACGCGCAGGAATGCTCTAAGGACAGCATGAAGAGAGTTTTGTGTTCAGAGGTGACACACACACACCAGAGCTGCTCTGTGCTGGTTGTTCAGAGGCCACGGATCTCCAGAACCTCACTTCAGTCCTCAAACGACGCCATGCATCAGCGCTTCTCAACCTTATTGACTCCAGTCACAATAATATCAGCTGTAATGCAAAAGTTATTTATTTATTTTCATCTATGGACACTCCTGGTTTCTGTGCATTCAATTTCACGATTTCAGAAGTTTTAGGAGCTGAATGTTCCTCAGGGTTCCTCCGGTTTTAAACCAATGAATTTATCTGAATTTTCCAGTCATTTGTGATCCACTGGATCAGGATTACGTTTTTTTTTTAGCCTGGTAAAACTAGGTTTTGCTCCAAAACACCCCCACAGGACCTGGTTGAGAACCGCTGATCTAATCACAACACATCAACATGACACCTTAAGTTTGAAGTGTAATCTGTGTATCATCTAAGTTTGTCAGGTGTGTTTGAGAAAAACAATCCAGAAGGATTTTGCAGAGACGGACAGTGAACTGGGAATTACAATAATATGTGATTAATCATGGCTTAGAAATGTTCGCTGTCTGAGGCGTTGCATATTTATTTATTACAATAACAGTCACCTGTGAGCACCTCAGAGAAACAAAGATCATATTATCATTAACAACAATCTCTGTCATCACACACACACACACAGGTTAATTAGTGAATTTGTTATCATATTATAGCTTTGTATGTCAATCGCTAACTTCATCGTTAATCTCTGTTTCCCACATACAAGTGACTGAACTCCACTAATGAGACACACATGCACACACACACACATTTGTTTCTGTGAATTGTGGGGACTTTCCAGATATTTTGTCCTCACACTGTAGCATAAACCAGTACACACACATACACTCACACACACACACACACACACACACACACACACACTCGCACACACACATGCACGCACGCACACACACACTCGACTGTATGCACTGCTGATTCCAGTGTGTGACGAGAGCCGCAGACGTGACGGGATTCCAGCATCATGTGTGTGCAGTACCTCCTCCTGTGTCTCTAACCTGATGGATCTGCGATTGTCCTGCGCTGCAGAGGTCAAAGGTCATCCTCGGGGTCCCTGAGGCTCCAGCGAGAGGAAGGAGCTTCTACAGAAGCGTAAACAGATCATTAATGGGACTGAAGCGTGTTTGATCCTGAGCGAGTCTCGAAGCAGACTCTCACGTCTGAAATGTGTGTGATTGAGTCTCTGATCGCAGTCGTGATCCTCTAGACTTTGGTGTCTGCGGGGGAATCTGTCAGAATCTGAAGGATCTCGCTGAACGTGGGCCGTTCTTTAGGGCTGGACGCCCAGCAGTGGCTCATCAGACTGCAGACGTGAGCAGGACAGTTCACTGGAGGAGACAAACGCAGAGTACCTGCCTGGAGACCTGAGACACAGAGAGACATGCATAAGACACACATGAAACACAGAGAGATACACACATGAGACACAGAGAGACACAGAGACACACGACACACAGAGACACACATGAGACACAGAGACACACACATAAGACACACATGAAACAAAGAGAGATACACACATGAGAAAGAGACACACATGAGACACAGAGAGACACAGAGACACACGACACACAGAGACACACAAGACACAGAGAGACAAAGAGACACATGAGACACAGAAACACACATGAGACACACAAGACAGAGAGACACATGAGACACAAAGAGACACATGAGACAGATACACATGAGACACAGAGAGACACGAGACACATGTGAGAAACAGAGAGACACACATGAGACAGAGACACATGAGACACACATGAAAGAGAGACACAGAGAAACACGAGACACACATGAGACACAGAGACACATAAGCCACACACGAGACACAGAGACACATGAGACACACATGAGACAGAGACACACAGGACACACATGTAAGTAAGACACAA